AGCGCCCCGCGTCACTTCGTTCCCCCGCAAGCTGGGAAAAAAGCGCTTTCGCCGGTAGCCGCCCGAGCGGGTACGTACCCTGTCACCTGCCAACAGCAGCCGCGGGGCAGCTGTCCGTAAGGAACCAACCACACGTACTTAAGCCGTTCCAGCGGCCCTCGGAGGAAATGGGAGTCATTTGTAATGACTGGAATTTCCTGTACTCCCGCAGAAAATCCAGGGTCAGTTTTTCTGTCGGTTGGTTGGTTTCATTTGTCCCCCTGAGGCAACTTTGCCCGCTACAGCGTTAGTGCATTTGTTGTAGCCAGTTCTCGTCAGCAAGGCCTGACGACTAAAGACCAGCATCCCAATTGCTAGAGACCAGGACAGTACCTGGAAGGGAGACCCAGAGGTTTTAGAGCTGGCACAAACACTGCGCAAACACTTCTTGCCACAGCCAGTTCTCTGAAATTCTTCCTTCCTTTAGGGTTAATGAAATGTTAGTAAATTCTCATTCAAATACTTAATGCTTATTTACTTGTATGTTGGAATCTGCTTGTTGAGCTGCTTTCCATGCAGAATGTGAAATAAAAATAACACACTTCAACTTTCAGTTTCTATTAAGAGTAGCTACAGACTCGTCCTTTAATGAATCACAACCAAACATCAAAGAGGAATAACATTCGAAAATTCTAAAAAAAGCTAAGTCAGGACTTTAAAAAAAGGCATCTAGCACCTCAGCCTTTTAACACAGTTACCCTGACACCCCCTTGAGGTCAGTAAATACTGTGAGCTTCGCTTTACAGATGGGAAACACAGGTTTTCACATTGCAACACATGCTGCAATTCTCACAAGCTCACAGCTAGAAAAGCTGTACTCCAGAGGGCACGGGACGCAATTCCTGCCCCATGAAAACAGTCATTCTGTGTCTCCACCTGAACAGGGGGAGGATTTGAAAACAGATCTCAACACTTCCTGGCATGAATACCACAACTCCCAAATTCAGCACGAAACTTGCTCTGTGCTAGAAGCGCACACCAGTTCTTACACTGCATGAGACGCAATTTAACACACCGCGTTCCAAACATCGGGTGGTGCTCCAGAAACACCAAGGGGGAGCTCCTGAGAAACCTAACTAGAGCGAAGGGCGACTGAGGGCACAGAAGCACAGGGGTCAGATGGAGGAAGTTCTCAACCAGCCATCGGGAAGCGCCAGCGCCTTGCAGGCTTCGGGTGCTACGGACCGGACAGCCACTGCTGTTCAAAATCACGCAGGGTACAGTGTAACACCTGTAACACCGTGGTTTAGTCGCCAAAATCACAAAAGAACATGAAGTCTTTAAGTGGACATACATACTACCGAGATCCCAGGAATTCCTATTCACTCCTGTAGTACTCGACCAATGGATCTGTCAGTCAAGTGTAAGGTCTCCGTTAAATGATGCTAACTACTGTAATCGGACAAGATTAATTCAAAATAGCACTGAAGACATTATGTTTTCACAATTACACGTCATTATCCAACATACCAAAACATGCAGTTTGTGCAGGTATTTCAGGAACATTGAAAATAAAAGGTAATCTCCCACTTTCTTTGCTTCAAGCCGTTCTGTACATCGTGTGAAAATGTAGCAAAGGGCGGGCTCAATCGGTGTGAACGCTTTACAACACACTCGCTGTCTCCAGGAGACAGCAGCATCTTCATTTTGCTTATCTTGCTAAGTGTTACAAACGTAGAAACAGATATTCTGTAGGTCCACTCCATCAGTTTTACAGCATTTCAGCTACGCATCCAAAGAAAAGAACTCATCCTTGTGGGATTGCACCTTGAAGCCACTCGAAATAAAGCTTTCCGTAAGGTGCTGCAAAGTTACTGAAATGGCTGGAATCTTTAATAGCCAAATCCAAAATACTATAAAAGCATATCCCAGAGGTTTTATTGTTTTAGTAGCAGTCAAAATATGCTTAGTATAGAAATCCGTGTTTATTTGAAAAAACTGTAAATGATATTTCGCAATATAAATTAAATCTGCTTACAGTTTTGGTGGCTGAAGTAGCTGTGACTTGACTGCTAATTGATAATTTGTCAGTATAACGCTACATGGGATCGGGACGTCATTTATATTGCAAGTGTTACGACTTCCCATAAAAATAGTCAACCAACTATTTTCTCTCCTAGTATGAGCAACAGTGAACATTATGAGCAACACGCCTGAAACAGATGACTCAACTTTTTGATGGAAATTTTTAAACAGCTTTCAATCATTCAAGTATTATGGTCCCTATATACATACTTCTATGTGGCTAAAAAAGACATGGTAGACAATTGAGCACGCTGCCATCAAATCGTAAGAATTACAAAACTGTCAGGTTTTAAACAGCAAATTGTACCTTAATCGTTTAATTAAAAATAGAAGAATTAGGTAGACTATTTTGCAAATAAAACAGCACACTAGTGTGCTATATATTAAGGCATACCTTTAAATGCACACTTGTCATCTCTAACAAGTTTTATACAATTGCTACCGAGTGAAAGGACTATCATTGTCTTGCAAAACTGAGAAAGAAATACAAAATATCTGGAAGCCTACATTTTTAAAGTACAAAATTAACCTTTAGTCCTCGTCTTGAAATACTATACACGGTACAAACAGCGATTCTCCCCTACAAGATCTCACGAGGATTTCTTAAAGCTGGAGGTAAATTTGAAGGTTTTGATTCTTCATCCAGAAGTACCAGATCCTCAATTTCACTACCTTTGTATTTTCTTTTACATATCTTCACAATAACTTTCTTCTTGAGGAACAATTTCAAAGCTTCTCTTGAAGCAACCGCTTTGGCATTTTCCATACTTTTACCACAGCCAGTACCCAAGTAGACAGACTTGCACCTCAGTTCACAAACTATATTTTCTAGAGAGCTCTTATTTTGAGGCAAGTCTGCAAGTTCCTTCAGGGGAACAAAAGCAACATCTAACGTAGCTTTTACAGACTGAATAGATGAGTTTAGAAGTTCTGCGTGATTTACGTTAGGACTGAAGCCTCCAACAGCAACCAGTTTCCACGCTACAGCTTTGTACAGTCTGTTGAAAAAAGGTTGTCTTTCCTTTGCATCTTCGCTGGTTAACGGTTTGCACAAAGCCTTAGCAGGGCTTTCACCTGCCTGCGAGCCACTCTTGGAGGCAAGCTGTGGTGAACCTGCCTGCGTGCCACCCTTGGAGGCCAGCAGGGAAGCACCTGCCTGAGCTCCACCCCGGGAGGCCAGTGATGAGGGACCTTGCTGAGCGCCGCTCCGAGTGGCCAGCAGCGAAGCAGCCACCTGAGCACTGCTCTTGGAAGACAGCAGTGAGGATCCCTGCTGAGCACCGCTCCGAGCGGCCAGCAACGAGGCAGCCACCTCGGCACTGCTCTTGGAGGCCAGGAGCGAGGAGCCCACCTTAGCAGTGCCCTTGGAGGCCAGCAGCAGTGAGGTGCCCGCCTGAGCACCACTTTTGGGGGCCAGCAGCAGCGAGGTGCCCGCCTGGGCACCGCTCTTGGACACTGATGCTGGGGCACTCGCTTGGTTTTTGGAAGACAGCAGTGTAGCACTTGTTTGTGGGGTGCTCTTGGCAGCTGGTGGCACTGCTGCTGCCTGCGGGGTGCTCTTGGAGGTGGGTGGGACCGCTGTCACCGCTGCTGCCACCGTCTCTGCATGTGGGCTGCTCTTGGCAGCCGGTGGCACCGCTGCTGCCACCGTCTCTGCCTGTGGGCTGCTCTTGGCAGCCGGTGGCACTGCAACCGCCTGCGGGGCACTCTTGGCAGTCGATGGCACTGCCGCTGCCACTGCTGCTGCCTGTGGGGCACTCTTGGCAGCCGGGGGGAGCACCCGCCCCACCCCCTCCCCCTGCGCGGCTCGCCTCG